TTGGATACGCTTGTGTTGTGGTTTACCTATTTCCCTCAAACCACAGAGGGAAGAAGTGCATTCATTCCTTGGCAGAAGCAGGCAGCCCCACAGCCCATGTGTTGATTACAAAGCCCAGCACACATACATATGTTCCCTGTCTGTCTGGCTCAACAAGATACAGGCTGGTTACATGCTTTACTAATCATTCCAACAGCACATGCTCTCCAGGGACACGAGCCAAACTCCGTAATTCAGCACACTCTTGTCAACATAATGGTATCAACAGCCCTAGAAATGTGATATTACGGGAGAAGAAGACAAACACTGGAGTCTGGTGCTCGCAAATAATGAGACGAATGTATTGCGTCGGCTAGTTAGTGTCACATTTTATCCCACTGTGAAGCGATGAAACAACTGCTCGACTTTTTGATTATCTGATTAATATTTTAGTCGATAAAATGCAAGATAAATAATGAGAAATGAGAAAGTAGTATCATGAAATAACTAGTTTTGTCTAACTGATAGTCAAAAATATTCAGTTTACTGATGCACATATTAAGACAAAGGAAGCAGCACAGCAGAAAAAAAAATTTGCAATTGAGAATCTGAAATAAAATTGGAGTATTTCCTGGAAAATAATGATTTGGAATTTAAAAAAAAAAAAATGTTGCAAGATTAACAACAATCTCATTTCCATTTAATCAAGAAAGTTGGATTTTGTGTTACACTGTGTGCTTTCTAATAATTTTTTCTCACCCGTACAAATGGGTAACACCTGCAGATTTTTGCTTTGACTTTGAAATTTTTATTTTGTTATTTTGTTTTTCTCCTTTATTTATTTATTTATTTTTGAACATATGGTTTGATCCAATAATGCTACTTTTGATTTTCTGCTTCTGTCGTTTTCTCCGGTGTGTACGTAACTGTTGACGTTCCCGCAGGTGTAATGTTCTCTCAACTGATCACATGACATACGCTACAAAGACAGCGTTACGTTCCTTTGTGCATGCTCTGACGAGGGATTCATGTCGAATTTTGATTTTAGCACTGAATATACAAATATTAATTATTTCCAAATCTTAGATCAAATACACTTGAAAGCGTTCAAATAAAAAAAATAACAGTGACAACTGCGTCTCCATTGACTCGAGCTACCAATCATTGCTTCTTTCATTCCTGCTTAAGCACACACATCCTCTAGTGGTACTTTTCTCATTTTTAAACCTCGCCACCATTCAGGCTTATCTCACCAAAAGAAAAAAAAAAGAAGAAGAGGGGATTAAGTGTTGAAGGATGAAGTCTCTCAGACGTAGATATAGTTTTCATTTCTGAGAGTTTTAGTCGATGAATAAAACTAATGACAGTCTAAGAGGATATAATCCCCGAGGTGCTGAAAGCATCACTCACCCCCAATAGGAAATACAACAGCACTTCCATTGTTGGACAGTAAGATTGTGAGACTTTAGGTTGACCTTTTCTTATAGTTTTCCCTTATTTTTTATCGGATACAACATGCCACGAGTGATAATGTGCAGAAACGAGCTCCGGCACACGGAGTCGAAAACTTGTTCTCAGCACAAAGCTCTCTGTCTCTGTGGCGTAAAACTGGAGGAGCAGAGCATTCGATCATCTTCACCCTGTCAGCACAAAGACAAAGAGCTGCCTCCGAGCGAGCAGAGCTGGTCATAGGTGAGTCACACACACACACACACACAAACACACACCGGGATACAGACCTCGTGTGCTGCGACACAAAAACTAACGCTCACATCCGCTCCCACGTGCACGCTGAGCCGCGAGAGACGGCGCTGGCTGGAGGAGTTAGCTGGCTGGAGTGCCCTTGGCTTGATCTTCAGGGCCGCTGTTCATGGACACAGCGGCTACACACCGCAGTCTTTCCACACACACACCGCACTTTTATCATGCCCCACCATTCACTAACCTTTGTTGTCCCTCTGACCCCCCACCTAGGGGCTCCTGCTGTCCTGTCACACTGCTCCGAGATCAACCCCAGCGTCCTGCTGGGCAGCCGGGAGGTGGTGATTGGAGTTTGGGGCACATTGCAAGTGTGTTTTGAGGTGGAAAATAAAAGAGGACTCTGGGCGCATCAGCAGCCAGGTGATGGTTATCAATTGTCCGTCTATTATTCCACTTCTCCCCCACGTCATTTGTTTATCCGCTCAGTCTGTCTCTTTCCGAAGGTAAACTGACAAAAATGCAGAATCAAATGGGAAAAACAACGACCTTCTCCTTGAATGACCCGCTGAAATGTTTGTTTGTTCAGGTTTCATAATTCATAAAGCTGCTAAAGGAAATTCCTGTGATCTACCCACCAGTGGCAGCTTAAATGGCCGACACATTGCAGGAGCAGGAGGGGGGGAAGCTTTGGTGGTGTTTGGTCCACATGTGAGAAAGGTTGCGACATCTCACACCCCCTCAAAGACCCTGACATGTTTTCTTCTGTCTCGTTCAATCACGAACTGCCAATGGGTTCTCACTGTCTGTCCTTCAGGGAAATGTTGATGTGTGTTTTTGAAACCATGTTCGTGACTCACTCCAGCTCTTTAAATAAAACTGGCAGATCTCCTGAAGGCTCAAGTTCACTTTACAATTAGCCTTGAATCACTTCTTTGCAGGTAAAAATAGCCATCAATGAATTCTAGTGATATAATCCAGAGATATATACGCAGAGACATTTCATAATAAAACACACAAATAAGTGTTATATAAAGATGCCATCTGGATGACAAGGAGACAGGTACGTGTATTCATTGCTGCTGAAATGTAGAAATATCCTGAGGAAAACAGCCACTCAGAGATGCAGTCCAAGGTCGATAGTCCAACCTTCTATCATACACTGGTTTTGCAAAGTTACGCAAAATGTATTTTTGCTTATTGCAGAAGTCCTTCCTGGTCAAATGCTGTAAAAGCGTTTGTGCTGCCTCAAAGTGGGTCGAGTCCACGTCCATGTTGAGTTCAGCTTTGATAGAAAAAAAAGGGTTGCTGAGTTATAAACCTCAATTACTCCTTGGAAACGCCACTGTTGCAGAGGTTTGAAAAGCAAAAATCCACATATGATGATCATCTTTTGTGAGGTTTGGTCTGGAGATGA